AAAAAAAAAAAAAAAAGAACGAGGAGAAAAAGAGAAATCACCTCCCCTTCGACTTGGCCTCATCCTCCCTCATCATCCGAATAATCTCCTCCCTCCTCTGCTCCACCTTCTTAAGCTCCTCCTCCTTCTCCCTCCGCCGTTCCTCATGCGTCGCAAACCACTCCTCTCTCGCCCGGTCCTCCTCCTCCGGCTTCGCATGCGCAAGCATACACGAATTCATCGTCAGTCGCTGATTCCGACACACCCACGTAGCAGTTATTGTGCGATTGACCGCGCATTGAGCGAATGCTATTTTTCATCCACAATTTCATTAACATCAACCAACCCCAAGAAAGACAAGACAAAAGTATAAATAAATAAATAAATAAATAAATAGATAGGTAGGTAGGTAATAAATAGAGAAAGAAAATACCTTTAATTTCCTCCGCGCAATGCGCTCGTACCCGTTTGTGAAAGATCTTCTTGACTTCTTGTTCTTGGGTTGCGGAGAGGGGGAGGGGATTGCGGAGGTTGTATTTTGTTGATGGTGTTGATGTGGATGTTGTCGCCATGGTTGTTTATTGTATGTACTTTGCTATGCGAGGTCGTTCTATACTGATTGATCTAATATGCGAAATATACTGGTAGAGTAAAATAAGGCCTTGAGGGGGGTTTGTTTCTATCGGAGTAACGTGCGAGAGAGAGAGAGAGAAGTGATCTGCGTTCGACAGGTCCCGGGTTGTTAGGTAGTAAGAGTTAATTGTTGGTGTTGGCCAATTTCGAATTGTGTCAATTCGATCCCAGGAATACAATTACTCCAGATTGTGTAAATGGGATTCGAGAGGAAATCGTGGCGCGTGAGAGTGAGAGTGAGGGTGAGAGTTGAGTTGGGTTGAGTTGGTTCCACACCGAGCTAAAGGTAGAGTTGTGTTCAAGTTGTTCTTCTTCTTCTCCGCTTAGGCCGAGTCGGAGAACTTTTTTTAACTACAACCCATTCTTCTTCTTCTTTTTTTTTTTTTTTTGACACTGTTTCGGGGGGTTTTTAACAACAACCCTCTTCTTCTTTCTTTTCTTCTTCTTTTGATTTTATACTTCGATTCATATACGGGATTTATCATCGAACGAACCGGAAGCAAAAAAATAAATAAATAATAGTTAATAAAACCCACCACCACCACTACCCAAAATGTCATCCATGCGCAATGCCGTCCAAAGACGGAATCACAAGGAGCGAGGCCAGGTCGGAGGCCGTGAAAAATGGGGTATTCTCGAAAAGCACAAGGTACATAGCATCCTCCTCCTCAAACCAATCTCTTTCAACCTAGAACTAGAAACTAACAAAATGTAAAAAAAAAATAGGACTACTCCCTCCGAGCAAAAGACTACAACCAGAAGAAAGCCAAGCTCAAGCGTCTGGAAGAAAAGGCCCGCGACCGTAATCCCGATGAATTCGCCTTCGGGATGATGTCTTCGCACACGCAGAAGGCAGGAAAGCACGGGACGGCGGCGCGCGAGTCGGCGGCGGGACTCAGTCACGATGCGATCAAGTTGTTGAAGACGCAGGATGCAGGGTACTTGCGGACGACTGGGGAGCGGATTCGGCGGCAGATGGATAAGTTGGAACAGGAGATTCAGTTGCAGGATGGCATGGTGCAGAGTTTGGTGGGGAAGAGGCCGAAGAACAAGAAGAAGGCTCCGGTGAGGGATGAGGATGAGGATGGGTTTGATTTTGATTTTGATGAGGAGTCCGAGGAGGAGGAGGAGGCTGGACCAAAGAAGACGGTCTTTGTTGATGATAAGCAGGAGCAGAGGGATTTGAAGATGAAGCGGGTTCAGGCAGAGGGTAGTGGTGGGGATGAGTCATTTGAGGATCTTGAACGGAAAAAGACGGCGAGAGAGCTTGAGGCGGATCGTCTGGCTCTTCAGGAGGCTCGTCGCGCGCGGAAACTCAAGCAGCGTGCTGCTTTGGCGAGGCAGAACAAGCTGGCTGCGCTTCAGAAGCAGTACAACGATATCACAGCTGCGGAGCGCCAGTTGGATTGGCAGCGTGGAAGGATGGACAACACTGTCGGAGGCACGAACAAAAATGGGATCAAGTGGAAGATCCGCGAGAGGAAGAAGTGATTTCAAATCATTCTCACCATACGACTGATGATTTCCTTCGACATTCTCTTTTCTTTTCTTCTGTGTTTGCATTTGGGCTGTTTCTGGGTGTATGGCTTGGGAAAAGTATTCTACATGGGTCGTGTACTTGTATAGAGATTTACTGCAGGATACCATTGCTATTTGATATTCTTCATCAATTAAAGTTGCTCAAATTTGGTAAACAACATCTGATAAGCATTCGTAAAACAGGTCAAATTACCATAACCGTCGAGGTCGTGAAAGCTGAAAAGAAACACCACATATCCCTGGCGTGTAGAATCTATTGTTGACCCTTCATGTGGGCCACCCGGATGCTCACAGCCCGCTTGTGTGCATCCAAGCCTTCCACAGCCGCCAACTGCTCAACAGTGCGCGAGAGGCCCAACAATCCGTCAGCCGTCAGATTGGAACTGGTGATGTGCTTGAGGAACGATCCCAGGTTCACGCCAGAGTATTGCTTGGCATATCCGTAGGTTGCTGGATCCAAGTTAGCTACTAGTATATTATTGTGAGAGAAACAACCGGAACTTACGCAGAGAGTGGTTCACACCGGCCGAGTAATCGCCGACACTTTCAGGAGTCCACTGGCCAATGAAGACACTTCCGGCGTTCTGCACCTGTTCGACGGCGGCCTCTGGGTTTTCGATTTGCAGGATCAGATGCTCCGGAGCATACTCGTTGCTGAGAGCCATCGCCTCGGCAAGGTCACGCACCACAAAGGTGACTGAGTGCTCCAGAGATCCCTTGACAATGTCCATTCGGGGGAGTGCTCTGGCCTGCTTGTCCACCTCATTTTCGATGGCCTGCAGCTCCTGCTCGTTCAGGTCAATGGCAATCAGAATGACTTGGGAGTCGACACCGTGTTCAGCCTGGCTCAGCAGATCCGAGGCAACAAACGCTGGGTTCGCCTGCTTGTCTGCAATCACCAGGACTTCACTAGGGCCGGCTGGCATATCAATGCTGACGCCCGCAGAGGTATCATTGGCGACCAGCATCTTAGCGGCGGTCACGAACTGGTTACCGGGACCCAAGATCTTGTCGACCTTGCTGATGCTCTCCGTACCGTACGCCATGGCAGCAACCGCCTGGGCACCACCGGCAAGCACAATACTCTCCGCTCCGACCTTGTGAGCAACGTAGACAATCTCAGGCGTGACACTGCCGTCGGCACGAGGGGGTGAAGCAAGGACGATCTTCTTGCAGCCAGCAACCATGGCAGGGACACCCAACATCATGGCGGTCGAAGGCAGCACAGCGGTTCCACCGGGAATGTACAGACCAACACGTTCAATGGCTCGTGAAAAGCGGGAGCAAACGACACCAGGCATCGTCTCGACCTTGAGGCCATCGTTGCTACCCTTCTGCGCACTGTGGAACTTGGCGATGTTGGCAATACTGACATCAATGGCTTCCTTGGTTTCAGGCGACACCTGCATCAACTCTGGTGCGAATGGAGCGTTGATGACGGGAGAGGTGAGGGAAGTGGCCTTCTCGAATTTGTGGGTATACTTGAGAACACCGGCGTCGCCGTTCTCGCGGACATCCTGGATGATCGGACGGACAAGGCCAATGATCGCATCGTTGGATTTCTGGGAAGGACGCTTCAGGTAAGCCTTAACATCCTCCACCGGGGTCGAAGCGGTGATGACACGAGTCATCTCGATGCGGCTGTCCTCCTTGGCCGGGGGCTGGCTCTTCTCCACGGCCGCGGGGGTAGGAGCGGGGGCAGAGGCAGGAGCTGCCAGACCGGCCTTCTCTGCCCAAGGACCCTTGGCGTCGCCCTTTCTTCTCTTCACCTTCAGGCTCTTGAGGTCCAGGTTCCGCTCGACGTCTTCGAGGCTGACACCAGCTGCGACACAGCGGGTCAGAGCGAAATAGAGGAGATCAGCAGCCTCAAAGGCAATCTCTTCCTTGGTGTTTGCGCGGCATAGCTCGTCGGCTTCTTCCATGATCTTAGCCTGGGTGAGCTTGGGCTCGTTGAAGAGTCTAGCAGTGTAGGAACCTTCGGGGGCATCGGCTTTGCGGGCCTGCAGAGTCTTCTGCAGACGCGAAAGTCCGTTGTAAGGACCGAAGCAGCTGGCCGTACCAAGGTGACAGAAGCCTCGACCGATCTGGTTGACAACGAACACTAAGCAATCGCTGTCGCAATCGAAGCCAACTCTGATGAGTTCCTGCACATCACCACTCGACTGACCCTTGTACCACAGGCCCCGTTTACGGCTCTGGTAAACACCGGTACCCGTGCGAAGCGCTTCAGAAATACTCTCGTCACTGCTCCACACGAGGCCCAAGCAAGTTCCTCTCTCGTCGGTGACCGTGGTGGCGTAGAGGCCGTTGCTCTGATCAGCGACTGCGCGAGCTGCGATAAGAGACGCAGCAGCAATCTTGCCGTCGGCCTGGTTGCGATCAAGGGTCAAGGCTTGCGCGGGCACAATGCTCACCGCACCCTGGACCAAGGTATCCTTCAAGGTTTCCTCGGTGACAGCGCCGGAGTACGTCCGGTAAAGGCTCTGGGCTTCGGGGTTTAGGCCCAATTTGTCGACCAAGGCCTTCACGGCGGACGAATCGGTAGAGAGACCGGCATCCTTACGCTCGGAATCCTCAGCCACCCACTTCTGGAAGGAGTCCACCTGGCTGTCGGAGGAAGTATAGACGACGACTCGTGATGAGGGAACGGACTGTTCTTGGGAGAGGGCGGTCAATTGGTCGAGGGTAATGAAGATCTTCGCGGCACCGGCATTGAGGATATCGACGAGGTCACCGGTGGTGGAAATCGCGGTGGCATCAACGTAGACGTCCAGAAGACGGAAGTTCTGACGCAGGAATTCTTCGGCTTGAGCGACGCTGGAGGCCTTGACCAGGACACGGCCGAAGTAGGCAATCTGCTTGAGTGAGAGGCCATTGGCCGAAGGGTCGAAGGAGACGAGGAATGGAGTCGCCATGGTGGTGACTCAATGAGGGGGAAGGGAGGGGCAGGAGGGGTGACACGGAGAGGAGGTCAAGAGAGTTGATTGCCTGATTGAGTATAGAACTATGAAGGAATTGAAGAAAAAAGAAAGATTTCAAAAAAGCCCCGGTGCCTTGGGGGAGAAGTAATGGAGAGAGAGAGAGTGAGAGAGAGAGTATGTCTAGACGATTGCTGGATGATTCATCGCCATGGAAAAAGAAATTCCTTTCGGGCCCCGCAATCGGACAATTCGGAGGCCATCGGGGATCGGGGCCTGGAAATTCAGGAACAAAAAGAAATAGAAATGGCTTTACTGTGTATATTCGGGTCAAACAATACTGAATTAAGAGACCTGTATTTGTTTACTGCCTCTACCTTATCAGTGACACCAACCGAAGATCTCCCCGAACTATGTTGTCTCGATGAATCCATAGTTGAACTTCGGAGATTATGTGTTTTACCTAAAAAGTTTGGCCTGATTGGCGGAGACCCTTCTTTTAGATGGACCCTAAGCCAACACAATTGCCGAGATTTTATAGTAATAAAGTAATAGTATGTAGTTAGTTCTAGGTTTTTTTTTTTTTAATAATTTATAATACTAATTCTGTTCTTATAACAGAAATTCAAAATCGGCTTGGTAAAATATCTCAGGATATCTACAATATTTATACTATTGTAAATACCACCGCTTATAATATTAATAGTATTGTAAAAGATATCGATCTGGAGAAGCTACCAGTTGCTATAGAGACTGAGTATAGAATATATATAGATTAATTTAAAAAGGAATATCTTCCTGGAAGAAGAACTGAGCTTTGCCAGTAGATTACTAAGTAGGCAGTCTTACTGTAGAATAAATATATATTCTGGCTAAATAGACTGGTAGGTACAGGTAAATTAACAGTATCCCGAACTATGGCCAAGTTCTTCCGAGAAGGGAAGTTACTGGGAGAAAGTTTTTTCTTTAAGAGAAGAGAAGGGGATCGCAGGACTATAATTAGAGTCTTTCCGATAATTACTCCAGAATTGCTTTCCAGAATTCCAGACTTACTACTACTCAATATCATAGAAATTATCAAGGAAGACCCCGGAATTATAGTCAAGCTACTTAAAGAGTAATTTGAAAAGCTTCTTCTCTATTCTCTGAAGAGATTAACTAACTCGAACAGTCCCCGGCTAATATTGGTTATTGTGATTGATATGTTGAATAAATACAATAATAACAATAATATAAGAGCTATTATCCAGCTTCTTCTCTAAGTACAAAAGTCAACTCGGGTATATTTGCGAGTCTTTGTAACCAGCTGACTAGAGCTCCTAATTCGGTTAGGCTTCTAGAATACTAAAGCTAATTACCAGGACTTTATTCTTCATGAGATCCCGAAGTCTATGATAGAATATAATATAGCCTTGTTCCTGTGCAGTAAGCTTACTATAATCTGGTAGGAGCGCTCGCTTCCTTAGAAATGGTCTGGAGATATTAATTTCCAGAGTCTTCTTACTATGTCAGTTCTATTATTTATCTTTGCTACCACTATCTGCTGTATATTTGAGGATTATAATCTAGACTCTGCAGAATATCTTAATAAAATCCTTAAATATCGAAGCAAGGAGTCTAAGTTAGATAGAACCTATCTGCCTGTCCTTAACCGGGTGCTTGCTAATTATAGCGAGAAACAACAAATACAGATGGTTAAAGAAATCTGGGAGATAGTATAATTATTCTTCTTGAAAGTCTACTATCAGTTATAGCTCTGTCCAGACTACTGGGAATTTCCACTATATTAACTAATACCCGACTAAACTCACTGTACTCTGTCCTTAATATATCAACTGATAAAACAATACCTTTCCGGCCTTTTTATCAGTCTTTCCGCGATTTTCTTTTTGATCCAAATTCAGCAAAGAAAACTCCTTTCTGGGTAGATAAAAATAAGATATATTATAAATTGATATCTCGATATCTTATTATCATGTACCACAAGCTAAGGAAGAATATATGTAATTTCCCAAGCTATGGAACTGAGTGTAGGGATACTGATACTCAACTTATCAATAGTTAATTACCATTGGAATTGCAATATTTCTGCCGCTATTGGATATATTATCTGGCAAAGAGTGAGGCTCTATAAACGGAGATGATATATTTGTTTCTTCAAGACTATTTTCTTTATTGGATAGAAGTAATGAGCTTAATAGGAACTATATCAGAATCTCTAGACGCTCTTAATACTTTATAGTTAACAGTAAAGGTGAGTTCTCTTGAGTTATTTATGCGGATTTGAATATTTCCGTACTCAACTATAAAAAGGGGTTCATGGTAAGAAATATTCCAACAGTACAAACTGCTTTTGAGGTAGGTTTATCAAGAGCTTTTCCCCATTATAATTACTAAAGTAGACCTTCGATCTCCCTCACGAGTTTTGTTCCAGTAAAATCCCCAAACCACTATAGTGCCCGCAACGCACCCGGGGATGCAGGAAAGCCATGGGCGTTCCGCCGAGCCCAGATCCCAAAACCAACAGGACAACGCTGTCCAACCTATAATTCCCACTACTAGGGCAGACCTAGCTTTTTGGTCTCCGATTAATAGGGGCACTGTTTTTCGACCGGAGACTCTATCTCCCTCAATATCCCGAAAATCCTGAGCGTGAACAGTTGTCATAATTGCACCAGCGAGAACAAGGAGCCACATGAATACTTTCATATCGCCAGAAACAACTGAGTTATCTGTTACAACCTCTAGTGGGCCAGCAAAGAAGCACGCGAACCCAACACCATTAAGCAAGTTCTTCAATAGTGGGTTTGATACACCATTCCATTCGTTGTACCACAAACAGGAGAATGCCTCCAGAATACAAGGTACAGCACCACCCATCGTGCCTGAAACTGTAAATATAGCAGAATACATGCAATATATAAGCATTCTGACTTGACGTGATGATATCCGGCCGGCTGAAAGAGATCTCCAGGGTTTGTTAATCTTGCCCTCCGAGATCGCAGAGACAGAGCGCTGATTATGGAGAGTAAAAAGAAACAGATTGCTCCATAACCAGAGGAACATTTCAGGTCAAGAAGCCAGTATCTGGCTGAAAGACAAAGAGGCCCCCATACCGAATTCAGACGCCGTAGAGGCATTCAATGCCCCAGAATAAAAGTCCCAGGAAAATAATATCTTTGATATTATCGCAGATAAAAAGATGGGCAGTGCATACATAATAGCATAATAATAATAGGAAAGACGCCATGGTTGTAGATATAATGGAAGTCACGCCCAGACTGTCAAATAGAATAGGAAAACTGCAGTAGTGTCTCTTAGCAAGCCGTTGTGTACCAGTGTTCACGACCTTGACTGCCCTTATTCATCCAGAGCCGCAATCGACTCAGTGTGGAATGACGCCAGCTGGAAGGCTACTTTCCGATCAGGCAACCAACAAAGCCTACACGTACTAACTGACAAGGAGGTAATCCTTCCGAGGTGGAGTTGTATGACAAGTGGATGGTCCCATGAAAAGCCGGGAACCACCCATGTCTCCGCACTATCTTCGTTTTCGAAACCCACTGGCATTTTGCTTGCATTGTCAGAGCCAAGATATATCTCTTCACTTATTTCTTTTGATTGATGTGTCTTTGGATAGTCGAATGTGAGTAGTCCAGAAGCAATAGCTATGTCAGGACCCATGACGAGAGACCAACACACCTGAATGTCGGCCCTGAAATTAAAACTCAAAACTCGACTTGAGCCTTTCAAAACTGACCCCATGCACACAGTACACACACACACACACACACACACACACACACACACACACAGGACCCCACCTAAATGTCTGCATCTCACGGCACAATCCCCTGCAGCTTCGCAAGCACAAACATCAGATTCGCGTCGAATTGCTGGATTCACAACCCGTTTTGCCCGTGTTCAGTTGGCCGGGAGGGGGCCCCGAGTATTCCCAATGTTGCATTCATGAGGCCAAGATGCATGGGGCCGAATAAGGGTCGTGATTGTTGGGAGCCACAGGGTAGGCGTCTGCACGAAGCTGGGATTCTGGGACTGCGTGAACTCGAGACCGATAACAATTGGCCCAAAAACAAGACTGCTATACTACTATTATTGAGTCAATTTGGAGATTTTATGAGCTAATAAGAATTAGTAGTTATGCTGCCCAAAAGTCTCTCACATACAGATTAGCATCCAATTACCACCCAAATGAACAAAGGTTCCAACCCTGCAAGGCTCTAGTTGCCAGCCGCTAAGTAAAGCTCCTCAATTCTACTCTCAAGCATAATAATAATTCACTGTAACTTACGACGCTGGAATGCCGTCAGTCAGCACCGAAACCTCGCCGCCGATATTTTAAGCCACTTTTACAGTTCCAATGATATGGTAATATGAAATGGGACCATAACAATGTAACACGCGCTAAACTACATTTAAGGAGGGGGGCCTGTCGATCTAGTACTTTTGGGCGGGGGTTGGAACTGGCATTTGTGGAGCTAATTAATTATAGTATTTCCATGTAGTACTCTTATCTGTTTCTTTGTTTACTATTATAATCCTGGGGAAATAATTCGGCTAGTACCAATATATATATATATATATATGTATTTCCCGCCCACGGGTCTCTCTTTTCTTTTCAACAAGTCACTCGCTATGCTCGCAGCTCCATTTTTCTTTCTTTTTTTTTCTTTCTTTTTTTTTTTTTTTAAAAAAATATTATTTGTCCAATCTTGCACTAAGTCTGCGTATAGTACAAAATGGCTGCTGTATATGACTTTGTTGTTATTGGCGGCGGTACCGCTGGCCTAGTGGTTGCTTCTCGACTCAGCGAGGACCCCAGCACCTCCGTCCTGGTTCTCGAAGCAGGCGCCGACTTGACAGCAGATCCCCGCGTGAACATTCCCATCTTTTATGCCGCACTACTTGGATCCGACGCCGATTGGAAATTCCACTCTTCCCCTCAGGTAAGGACCGTCTCTGTCTCGATAAAGGGTGTGTGGGCTTACTCATTGCTTTTACAGCCAGGCCTCAATGGCAGAGTGCTTGGTCTCAACCAAGGCAAGGCACTCGGAGGATCCAGTTCATTAAATGCACACGTCTTTGTTCCTCCTTTCAAGAGTGTTGTTGACTCATGGGAAGCACTTGGTAACCCCGGATGGAATTGGTCTATGTTAAAGGATTATTTCTCCAAGGCCTACAGCAGTCCGACTGTAGCACAGGATGCCAAAGAAGGTCTGGCAATTGAGGACTGGCCTGAATTGAACGAAGCGAAAGGTCCGATCCAAACATCTTTTGGCAACCAGACGCACCCTATTCGCAAGGCTTGGGCCGAACTGTTCCGCAGCAGAGGACAATACAACGCCGGGGATCCGTTCATCCACAGCTCTATAGGCTCATTCAGTTGCCTTGCTAGCATCGACTCGAAGGGCAGAAGAAGCAACTCCGCCTCGGCCTACTATAAGCCTGTTGAGCTTCGACAAAATCTTCACGTTCTTACAAACTCATTTGTCGAGAGAGTCCTGTTTGACAAAAGCAAACCTCCCAGATCGATTGGAGTCCAATACAGTCTCGATGGTAGCTCAAAGACTATTCAGGCAAGGAGCGAAGTTATACTTGCCGCTGGCGCTTTTCAATCTCCCAAGATCCTCCAACTTTCTGGAGTTGGTGGAGCAGAACTTCTTGAGAAGTATGGTATCGATATGGTCGTGAAACTTCCTGGAGTTGGGCAGAATCTTCAGGGTATGTGAACAGCTTCCAATCTAGCACATTCAAAACCTGTGTTGTTGATCTTGATATGGCTCTGAAATAATCTGAAACCATCTCCCTTTTTGACATATACTCGCTTTGGAACAGATTTAAACTAATATCTACTACTTCTAGATCATATGGTATCGTACACCGCATTTCAAGCAAAGGCTGAACTGGAGACTAAGGACTCTCTGGCCAGACAAGAGCCTGAAGCCCTCAGTCAGGCAATGCAGGAATACACTGCCACGCAGTCTGGGCCTCTGGCTTCACTCGGGGTTCACACTTACGCCTATTTACCTCTTTCTTCACCGGACAGAAGTGCTCTCCAGGCATTATTTATAAACCATATCCCCGAAAAATCACAAGAGCACAGGGCAACACAAGCCTATTACGATATCGCAAAGACCACAGTTCTTGATTCCAAGCAACCATCAGCTGTGTACCTGTCCGCCTTAGGGCAGACAAATTATGCCAAAGATCTCAATGATAAGACTATCCCAGCTGCTTCGCCGGGAAAGTTCGTTACGCTTGGAGTAATGCTCTCTCAACCGCTTTCCCGCGGAAGCGTTCATATGTAAGTGAATCTTTTTGTTTTCTTCTTGCCTGCTAGAGATTGTGAGAGGTTCTTTACTCCTGATTCTTTACATGGGTCCCCCCCAGCAAACCGTATATTCACCAAATCTGACAAAAAGAACTCAAGTACCTCTATCAGTCCTGAAACCCCTCCAATTATTGATCCTGGTTACCTGTCGAATCCTCTCGATCTGGAAGTCATAGCACGGCACTTGCTCGGTATCAAGAACTTAGCCGAGTCACCTCAGCTGGGGGAGCTGCTCGAACAGCCACTGAAATTCCGTGACTCAGCTGCAGACTTCCAGGGAGACTTAGATGCCGCAAAGAAGTATGCTCGGGAGAATTTAGTCTCCATGTGGCACTTTGCGGGGACCTGTTCCATGCTGCCACGCGAGAGAGACGGAGTGGTGGATTCCAATTTGAGGGTCTATGATATCGAAGGACTGAGGGTTGTAGATGCGAGTGCTATCCCGCTGGTAAGCACGGCGAATCTGCAAGCCACTGTATACGCATTCGCGGAAAGGGCAGCGGACCTCATCAAGCAGGACTGGCAGAGCAAGTAAATAACGCGTTAGAGAATGTCTGCACAAACACACACACACACACACACACACACACACACACACACACACACACACACACACATATTAGGTTAATTGGAAAAGAGGTGAGAATGGGACCGCCTAATTACCCAGGATTCTTACCCTCCGCCGCGCAATTCGCGGGTGATCAGTCGCGCTCCAAAACGTTTCTTGCCCTTCGTAGAATCTTCCTACAGTGCAATTTTTCCCTTCAATGGGCCAACACGAATATCGGTATTGCTGGGCGAGGGGTAGCCTGTGAGGTCTAGAAGGGGGTTACAGTTATCAGGGGGTCAGAAATTAGCGCCTGTGGGTCAGAAAAAAAAATAATGAGTATTAGTTGTGACGGTGAACCGGGCGCCGGAAACAGCCCTCATGTCCCCAATCTCATGCCAGGACATTAGGCCTAGTACATTAAATGGTTGGCTTCGGAAGAACCGTTTGGCTCTTCCTATTCCCCCACACAAGCCCTCCAACATAAATATACCACGACTCTTAAGCAATGATATAGACACGTGATCAATATAGGTTAAACTTGATGTTCCAAATGCCCAACCACTACCTTACCTCCTCCGAAGGAATTCGACGAGTTGGCCAGAGACTTGGTGTATAATTGTGCTTATCAATTCTCGGCGGCTGCTGAGTGGTAGGAATGCAGTATTGTTGGTGAACATAATGCGAGGGACTCAGTTCCGAATAGACTTAAAGCCAGAGTAACAACATTGCTCTGTCTAGATTTTCAGTTTTATGCCCACGCCTCAATCACTTCAATAATAGAACAAAGAAGCCATATCTACCTGGCCTGTTAAGCCATATTTTCTGCTCAGGACACAGTTCCATTCTTTCTCCAGTCGTTAGTGGGCTGGTTGAGGGGTATCATCACTGCCGCTGGCTGCGACTCTGGTCGGGGATATCGGCAGGGCCGTTTCGATCTGTGTCCGTAGGGCTGTGACTTTTTTTTTTTATAAAGCTTTTCATTCTGTTCGCGAAAGACATTCTGATCATATTTAACCTCTTCTAACTCGGCTTTGGTGGACTCGATAAGCGTGGTTTGATAGTTAATAATATCTTTGAGCTCATGAATAAGCTTCCACACCTCTCTAGTAGTAATACAACCGGTGCCCTCTGCAGCAGTGTGTATTTCGCCATTTCGTGTTCTTCTTTCGATAATCTGGGTTTCTTGCATGTTTGTGGGATGTCACAACCACAACTCAATAGTAGATGATGGATTGATATTCTATTCAATCAACCGCCGAAATAATGCTCTCGATGCATGAGAAAACAGTTTCCGACATACGTACTTAGATATTATTCCCAAACCCTAAATGCCAAGCCACGCTAAACCAGACAGGGATTGTGCAAAAGTTATACAGCTGTTGTATTTTACTTATAAAGTATATCTTACACAACCCAAGGGAAAAGGAAAAACCACCATAACTTAAAAATATCTCTGCCCGAACCCTAAATACTCTGAAAGCCTCAAGTCTTCCATTTAAATAAATAGCCTAGAAAAATTAAATTTAAAGTCATTCTAGAGAGAAATTTCTACGGCTGTACATCACTATCTAGTGGAATAGTCATGTTTGGAATTTACCCACTCTCTCTTTCCCATTCACTCTTTCGTTTTATTGTTCACTGACCCCCATTCACCTTGTCCTATGATGGACTCATCCCCAACCTTGACCCTCAACTTCCGTCGGTACCATTGTCTCGTTACATTAGTATGATATCTAAGCCCCTTTAGGTCCTCTTTAAGTCCTCTAGATATATCCCTGAAGCCCACAACGAGAACTCTAGTTATGCCAATCAATCTTCTATAACCCTCCAGTCATCTACCAAGGGTAAATGCAACTATACGACTCCCCGAAAAGAGTCCAAGCCTAGAAATCTAATATAGAAGATAGTATTGATGCTAAGAAAACCTATCAAAGCTCCCATCGCATCTCACCCTATGGATATCTACGCATGGTTTTTCCAGCACTCCTTGAGTGGTTAGCTTCAGGCCTCTTGGTGCCCTGAGAATAACAGCCGAAGATGCTATACGCAATGAGAGCTTCAGACCTGCCTAATGGAAACTTAGAAACAGCAAGCTTCTCTTCGACATTCTGGAACTTGAAGACTACCTAGTTCACCCCTAGTTCCCGCGTCAGAGTCAGCATCCAGCTGTCCAAGAATATCGTCACAAACTCCTCCTCATAGAATGACTCGTTCCAGTTGACCGCAAGTTGCATCTGGCCATCCCAAGTCCACACGTTGGTGAGTAGTAGGCGATTGATACATTCCACCGCGATCAACCAGCCCTGAACCTCAAGCTTCCTCGCGATGTCCTCGTACTCGGCCGGGAGATAATCGTTGACAACTCCGACCGAGCTCAGCTCAAGGATGCGCCGGCACCCTATAATGGGTCGGGTGGAGCTGCTCCTAATAACCCTAGGATCTTGCGCACATACTCCGCCAGGAAGGTAAAGATGTTCCTGGATTCCTTGCGGCTCAGATCCCGCTTGTATCCCCGGGCGAACGCCGCTGCAAGAGAGGCAAAGTCATGGTTGGCGGCCAGATCCACGCTGAACGGGATGCCTGTGTGGTAGACGGCGACCGCTGCGTCAGGCCCGTTATACGGGGTAGACAGGTACTTGCGATGATCGATGACATTGAACCCCGTGTACCTGCCGCTGACGTGCCCGCGCGTAGTTGGGTCAAAATTCTGCCTGCGCCAGGGGCAACATGGTCAGTACCAGGGCGGCATGCACGGCTGCCGTGACGGTCAGCCTCATCTAAGGATGGTGCTAGACGGGCGGCTTCCGAGCCATCCAACTGCGACTCGGCCGGGCCGTCGGCCAGAATGCGAAGAAAGGCGGCTTGTATAGACAGAACAGTGAGGATGGTGGCAGTGTTTGGTACAGGTGTGTAGCGGAACTCTCCTCCACTACCAGAAAAATGTCATGCACCCATGCTTCGAGTTCTTCCGGCGATGGTACGGTGTAGGTTAGCCGTGTGCCGGATTTATCTGCTACGGCCGCAATCTGAGGATACTGCCGTCGCAAGGCTTTCCATGCCTGCCGCGCTTCCTTAACAGGGGCTAGATGTTGGGGTTTAAGTGAACATGAGACCAAATAAAGTTGCTTCTGCAACGGGGCCCCAGCTTCTGCAATGCCCCAATCGAACTTCAGGGAGTCGAATGCGCGCTCATAGCGATTAGTCGACACTGGGTGCCACGGCATCGTAGGTGAGTCGAATATAGATGTGAAGAACTTAGGTCAGAGCTAGGAAGGAGAGAAAAACAGGGCGTCTCTCAAAGCTGCATGGATCCGATGAAACTTACAGCTTTGCACCCCACAACTCTGAGGTAGCTGCCATGTAATTCTGTGCTTATTGATCTCGTGCTTGCATGACAACCAATAGGATGCCGTTAGCAAATCTGGTGGACAATGTGTATAGACAGTAGTACCTATATCCTTAACCTATCGGTACTTGTCCCACAGATATGACGATATGCACCTAATTTGGACAGAGAAAAATCATCATAGTCATATTGTTTCTCGCCCAAGGGCCTTCCTCGCATGGGAGTCAACATCAGAACATTCCAACGGAGTCTACCTTATAGGAAGAATAATCCCAACGTTAGTCTTGGCTAGCATTTGGTCTGGTTGAAATATAACCCTTTGGCCTTTCTTTCGCTTATCTTTTGCATATATCTCTCCAAAAAGGGTCATTCTCTCAAGCGCCCATCAACCATTTCGGTGATCCGTTTCTTTCATCCGATTTTCGGCAGAGCCATAATACTAACTGACTCCATAAATGAGATACCAGACTTATCAAATATTATCTTGAATTCTGTACATCCTTTGGTGGGCGCATTGATCTCATCGGGGTTCTTGGAGTGTAGGAAGAATAAGTATGGGGACCTTTCCACACTAGTTAACTAGTCGCGCGACCGTCGAGAGAGTGTGTGTGTGTGTCACGTCCATCATTCAGATGATAAATCGATGGATCTTGCTCGAACATGACCAGAGACCATTTTGGAATCCCGTGATACATTGCCATCCGAAATCTTAGTATATTGAAAAAAAAAAAAAAAACTGATCGTATCATTAGCAACTCACAGATGTTGATAAAGAGTGTTATATGGAGAAGTTTACCGGAGGATGAAAGTTATTTATAAACCGAGTGGATCTCACCTCCACAGACACTCGGATATATCCACTAGGGCCGTACTATGGACGCACTAGTATATACACAGTAATATATTCATGTCACATATATTCCGTGTCGATGTGACCTGAAAGGAGGCATCTCGATCTTGATTGTCCAGTGACCCCACAGTTTAAGTTCAACCGGTGTCAGATTCTTGGCCTTGCATGGCTTTAGGAATAATGTGCTGCCTGATTCCTCAGGTACGAGTCACCTGGCATCGTGGAACAGCGTGACTCGAACAGATGATACCTCATGAAAAGAACAAAGCTGTTATTATTAATATATAAGTCGATCGACTTATACACAGAGTAGCCTTAGATGAAGTACTACATATAGTACGGAGTGTACTTAACCATTCCATTATGTTCAGTAGCAATAACTCCTGAGTATCCACATTCTTTCGGCCATACTATTAGCTGGAGAGTCTTTTCCCCTGCATAACATCCACGCGATCGATCCAATCATGGAACCCGGATCGGCGCGGGCCTGGATCGATCTGGCTTAGTTTGCCCGAATAGGTGATGGTGCCTGTAACCGAACATAGTCTGGAACTCTATCCTGTTGATTTCACGGCCAAAAGTAGTAGTTACGGCAAATGAGGGATGATCGCACCCATGACTTACCCAAAAGGGTCGGCTGATTCTCCATGCTAATCTTTAATTTTAAAAAATATGATCATTCGCTTCTCCACGCGACACATGAACTCCCTTCCCTCCCTCCTTTCCTCTTGTCTTTCTCTCAACACGCACTTCCTTGTCACTCTTTTACATCCGTTTCCATGTCGAAGTGATTCCACTCTTTTGTCAATTCGACCATACCTACAGTATATATCTCTAAAAACACCCGCCTACCTGATTAGGCTGTCATTCCTTTTATCTATACAGAGATAATTCTTAATATCCGACACTCCCTACCTCTAGTTTCATTGCAAATTACGACCTCCATAATGCATTTTTCATCGCTCTCATTGCCTCTCACGGCTTTGAGCCTTGTCACTCCTTCTCTAGCCTATCCCCAGCTCAAGTTTGAACAGCGCGCTGCACGGGGTAACACTAGTGAGTCCCGTGCGAATGCCGTGAAGGAGGCTTTCGTACATGCTTGGGATGGTTACATGCAGTATGCTTACCCACATGATGAGCTACACCCTATCTCGAACGGTGCCGGTGATTCGCGGAATGGCTGGGGTGCGTCCGCCGTGGATGCCCTATCCACGGCCGTCATTATGGGCAATGACACCATCGTCAACCAGATTTTGGATCATGTTGCCGGGATTGACTACTCTAAGACTGATGATCAAGTGAGCCTGTTTGAAACGACAATCCGATACCTGGGTGGCATGCTGTCTGGCTATGACCTGTTGAAGGGTCCGGCCTCGAACCTTGTCAAAGACCCCGCAAAAGTTGAGAAACTTTTGACTCAGTCGAAAAACCTAGCGGACGTACTCAAGTTCGCCTTTGACACTCCCAGTGGTATTCCCTACAACAATATCAACATTACTTCGCACGGAAATGATGGTGCAGAAACCAACGGGCTGGCCGTGACTGGTACCTTGGTTCTCGAATGGACCCGGCTTTCAGACCTGACTGGTGATACAGAGTATGCTAAACTCAGCCAGAAGGCAGAGGACTATTTGCTCAGTCCTTCACCAAAGAGTGCAGAGCCGTTTGAGGGACTGGCTGGAAGCCATATCAACATCACAAGCGGAAATTTCACCGACGGAGTGGTGAGCTGGAATGGAGGCGATGACTCGTTCTACGAATACCTTATCAAGATGTACGTGTATGATCCTAAAAGGTTCAGCATCTACGGGGATCGCTGGGTGAAAGCGGCAGAATCTAGCATCAAACATTTGGCATCCCACCCGTCAACTCGCCCGGACCTGACTTTCCTATCGTCCTACAACAATGGCACATATAGTTTGAGCTCCCAGCATCTTACTTGCTTCGACGGCGGCAGTTTCTTGCTTGGCGGGACCGTCCTGAACCGCGAAGACTTTATCCAATTTGGTCTGGACTTGGTGAAAGGATGTCACGAGACTTATAACCAAACCCTGACTGGAATCGGACCCGAAAGTTTCGGATGGGATCCCAAGAAAGTACCATCAGACCAGAAGGAGCTGTACGAGCGTGCGGGCTTCTATGTTAGCAGTGGCGCATATATTCTTCGTCCGGAGGTGATTGAGAGTTTCTACTACGCCTGGCGTATTACTGGCCAGGAAATTGTATGTGCCTCCAGAGCCTGTAAGCATTTTTTGATCCTGCACTAACAGAAGACTAGTACCGTGAGTGGGTGTGGAACGCGTTTGTCAATATTGACAAGTACTGCCGCACCAGCTCAGGGTTTGCGGGTCTGACCAACGTCAACGCTGCCAACGGTGGAGGCCGGTACGATAACCAGGAGAGCTTCCTTTTCGCCGAGGTGTTGAAATACGTGTACCTGACCTTTGCTCCTGGTAAGTCTCCATCATGGACAGAGTAAAAAAGACACTAATCTAACGGAAACAGATAACGAGTGGCAAGTCCAGCGCGGCAACGGCAACAAGTTTGTCTACAACACCGAGGCTCACCCTGTTAGGGTGGCAGCGTAGTTGTACATAGCAGTCTACAATCCGGTATTGATATAAATAATCATTGAACTTTACGTCTTATATCCTTTACGATATGTCCAATACATAATTTCGTACTCGGTGCCAATTAATCTCCATGATATTGTCCCCCTTGTCATCCACGTGTATAGAGACTTGTGTGACGTTCCCACATCGTCGATGTATAGGCTACAAGATCTTAGACAAGGGAAGTATCACTGATTCAAAAGTTACTGCCCAGCGACTCCCGTCTAAAATAGAAGAGGAAGATAATTCCTGAGGAAGTGGCTCTGACTTACTGCCAATGTCATAGGTACTCTTAAGTTCCATAGACAAAAAATAAAAATAAAAATAAAAATAAAAATAAAAATAAAAAAATAAAAAAAAAAAAAGAAAAGAAAAGAAAAGATACCCGTTCCAAGAAATGCAAGTACATGTTTTCAGAACAAGTCATTCTTTAGTCTATGTAGCAAATCTCTTTATTTCTATTGATCGACTAGGGCTCATTGTACTAACTAATGTATGTAACTACCCGGTATCTCTCTTTAGACACCCAAGGCGAACAGAATATATCATACTTCTCCTGGAAATACCCACTCTTTATTCCAGACAACTACAATAGAATAAAATAAAAATAAAATAAAAAAAAATAAAAAAAAATATACACAAAACAATCCCCTCAAACCCACTCCAAAGCAATCTACCAGGACCCGAAAACCAGGTCATACCCGGATTCACAGAGTGGTTATGATCGGCCAGCTAAGGCGCCCCACATTATCCGTCGCGGATTTGCGCAGATTTGAGCACCTTTGGGACGCTTCAACGGCTACACCTTGGGGACAGTCCAAGGGGTTTCATTCAGTATTTAAATATTTAAATAGAGCAAAGAAAATGTAGGAGTAGAGTTGAAAAGAAAAACTCATCATATTTATTCTCATCACCTCTGAATCATAAAAAAAATAAATAAATAAATAAACGTGTCTTCACCCTCTATTCATTGCAATCTACCATACAAACCATCTCTGTCAATCCATCCATTCATACAATACAGACAACCCTAAAAAAAAAAACCATACTCATATAAACCATGTGCGGAATTGCCCGACCCAGCACCGGCCACCGTATCGCCGTGATGTTCCCCACCGCCAACACAAAATCCATGAGTCCGTATTCCTTATTCTTCCGGGAAATGGACGCCGGGACGAAAGCTGTCTTTCGTATTGAAGATGCAAACACCTTTGATGTTTTTAGGGGGTGTAGGGGGATTGATTTGCGGATTGAGTATGTTCTTGCTTTTCCCCCCTCTCTTGTTACTTTCTGGTTTTATTCGTTAAGAAATAAATTGCTGATATTAATTCGGTTCTTAGACGATATGGAGATCTCACGTCTGCTCGTATGAGTCCACCACTTCATCAGTTCCGGTTACAGCCTTGTGGGAAGGGAAATGCTGAGATGGAGTTTGAGTTACCGGAAAGATTGGATCTGGGGGTTTCGGAGACGGGGATCGTTGGACGGCAGGTTACGGTCATGGTGGAGGGTCAGTCGTCTATGGGGATTGGGATGGGCATTGTGGGATATGATTGATTGAGGTCTTTCTTGCTTTTCTGGAGTTGGTGGGGATTTGGGTATATGGTGCTATGGGACTGGTTTATTACTATTTTCTTTGGGAAGGAATTGGGGTTTTATAATTTCATTCATATTCATGTTCATGGTCATATTCATGTTATTTTACTTTGGCTAAGCAGAATGGCTTCAAACTGACTGACACTGATCTACAGCTTCAGAAGTGCAGAGCCCTCCACGCCATTCTTGAATCGGTCCTCTGCAGTGCGCCAGTTAAGGACCTTCCAGATACCCTCTACATAAGAGGCCTTGTTGTTGAAGTACTAAAACGCAGTCAGTTAAACATCCCACTACCAAAAATGAAACACGAAAGAAAAAAAAAAAAGAATGAATGAAAGGAAAAACCAACCTGCAAATAATAAGCATGTTCCCACATATCCACCCCAAAAACCGGAACCTTATCCGTCACAGGATCCTGATCCTTCGTCGAAACAATCTCCAACTTCCCGCCGGGCCCATTAGCCACCAACCAACCCCATCCACTCCCCTGCAGACCGAGAAGCACGGCTCCAAAGGCCTCCTTGAACTTCTGCACAGAGCCATACTGGGCCTCAATGGCAGCCTTCAGGACGGGAGCGGCCTCGTCGATGTTAGTCTCCGAGGAGCCGTGAGGAGCCAGGTTCTTCCAGAAAAGGGAGTGGTTGATGTGGCCGCCACCGTTGAACTTGATCTTTTGCTGGAGGTTGATGAGCTGGGGGATGTTGTTTGCTGCGAGGGCGGAGGATTGGGCGGATAGTGCGGCGTTGAGGTTGGTGACGTAGGTTTGGTGGTGTTTTTGGTGGTGGATTTCCATGATTTGTTTGCAGATGATGGGTTCCAGGGCCTAGGGGGCTTGGTTAGTTGGGGCTCTTTCTTTCTTGTATTGGACGGACAGGGTGGGTTACATCGTAGGCGTAGGGAAGAGGTGGGAGGGAGAATGTGGTGGCGGCCATTTTGGGTGGTTTGGTTAGTATGGTTTGGTATCCTAGTTGAGGTTTTTGAGAGTATATGTGTGGTGGGAAAAGATGAAAATGTGAGAACGAGGAAGAAAGAGGGGGAGAAGAGGGGTTGTAAGGGATTTCTGGTCGATGATCATGACGAGAGAGAGAATATAAGCCTGGAATGGATGCTGAGGACCCCCCAAGGTACCTTCATCTGGCCAATCAGATGGGCGGGATGTGACTATGAGGGAGTTTGAGGGGATTCGGGGGACCTTTGGCGCACGATTGAGCACATTCTTGCCTTCGTCTATGTGATTCGTAGGTGGGTGCGGAGTACAAATAGGACCAGGTTAACGAACGATATGCGTAGATATTTATGTCTATCATGAGTTGAGTCGTGTTTATCAGGTGTTGTAACCAGCATGTCAGTCTCCAAGCACCAGTAAAGTACTATAGCCTCACCAGAAACATACTATGTACAATGCACGGACAATTAGTTGATACCATTGTTTCTCCAAGTTGTGGGGATCATGGGGTATAAGCATTTCCGACTTCCCACGAGTCACTGGCTAAAAATGTCATGACAAGCGAGTCTCCAGATCTGTTAAGGTAGAACCATATTATATGATCTGGATAGCTTCCTTCATCTACATGTCGGAGCTCGCAACAACCAGGCATATGGGAGGTAGACCTATAGCCCGGGAATACTGAATGAAGCGAACATGTATAAGGTGAACAATCATTCAGAATTGCACCTAAGGCAGTGGACGTGAACTGTTACGGAAACGAAGGAACTCGAGAAGATACAGCCTAAAATGGTATGGAAGTCAGATCATACCAGTATGGAGATAAGAACCCTTCGTCGATAATCTGACAAATGACTCCAACTCCATAAAATAACTCCAGCCCTAGGAACTGAGAAATTCATACTCCACGATCATGTTATTAAAATAACCCCCCAGCTCTACCCAGAGTTAGGGCTAATTCAACATCGAAAGGTAGGTGGAACAGAATTATGCTCGACTCGATTAATAATCAACCGAGTTCCATAAAAGATGCTTTGCGGGGGAATCTTAACGGCTGGCCCGAACGACCTCGGTATCTTGAACTGTACCCCAATCCACCTCCACTATGACTTCAAGCTCAATCCCTCCCAATCCCTCTTCAATTCCATACCATCACATCCCTAACCCTTGAGTCCACCCTAAAATACCATCCAACCACCAAAATGTCCGTCGCCGACCAAGTCCAGCTCGATAACTTCGGCTCCATCTTCTCCCTCGAGGGCAAAGTCGCCGTCGTAACCGGCGGCTCCAGGGGTCTAGGGCTCCACGCTGCCAGCGGGTCCGTATCCCCATTTCCTTCTGCACCCGCTAAACACATACACCGTACATGTATCACTAACAAAAAGTATGAGAAAAAGATTTCTTCAAGCTGGTTGCTCGAAAGTCTACATTACCTCTCGTAAAGCCCAAGCCTGCGATGAAGCCGTCGCGGCCCTCAATGCCCTCCCTAACAAGAGACCCGGTGCGCAGGCCATCTCAGTGGCGGCCGATAACTCGAAGATCTCTGAACTGGACAGACTAGTTGAGGAAGTGAAGAAGACTACGGACCATGTGGATATTCTCTTTGCGAATGCGGGAGCTACCTGGGGTGAGAAGTTCGATACGCATCCTGAGAATATGTTCTCGAAGGTTATGGATTTGAATGTGAAGAGTGTGTTTTATTTGGTTCAGAAGTGAGTTTTTCTTTTTTTTTTTTGTGAGACCTTTTGGTTTGGAGAGTGAACATCGGAGATTGCTAATGATTGGTGAATAGATTTGCTCCTCTGCTTACTGTCAAGGCTACGCGTGAGGAGCCCTCAAGAGTCATTGTCACTGGCTCTGTCGCTGGTCTGGGAGTCGGCAGTCTTGGGGAAAACGCCACTTTCAGCTACTCGGCTTCTAAGGCGGCTGTCATTCACTTGACTAAGAACTTGGCTGTTGAATTGGGTCCCAGACATATCCTGTGCAATGCCATTGCCCCTGGCTTCTTCCCATCGAAGATGGCCGATGGCCTGATTAATCTTCAGGGTGGGTTGAAAGCGCTCGAGGACTACTCCCCCAACAAGAGACTGGGTCGTGCGGAGGATATTGCGGGTCTGGTGGTGTTCCTCGGAAGTCGGGCATCCAGCCATCTGAATGGAGCGGTTATTACGACGGATGGTGGAAGTCACTTGAAGGGAAAGCTTTGAATTCCATCTAGATCAATCTGTAGCGTGGTTATGCTCTATCGCTATGCTTTTGTGAACGTATATAGTGTTGTATTTGATGTCTCCTTATATATGGAAGTGCTTGAACATCATATGGGTATGTTTTAGAGCTAGCTCTACAGCTTTGCTGCTGTCTTCTCTGTATCCGGCGCCCTGACAGCCCTATCAATGATCTCCATAGTTCGGAACAGCTCATAGTCGTGCTGCTTGGGGGTCACGACCTGTATACTCAGCGGTGAATCAAGATATACCCGGCGATCAACCGTTTTCTCGTTCCCTGTTTGGATCAGTGTTAGGATGAAAAGGTAATCAAGAGTAATGGATAGAGAAACCTACACAACTGTCGGTTTGCCTTATCCCAGCTTCCCAACACAGGCGCGTCCATTTCCTTTCCGCTTTCAAGATCGGACTCCCTGAATGGACGTACTGGAATGGTGCCCGCAGGATAATCCAGCAAGACAAAGCTAGACGTATAGCCAACGGCATTATAGCGGTCAATCTCAGGAACTGGGTGCGGAGCCACAGGGTGGATAATAGCATCAATCCGACGCCCAGTTCCACTATTGAGAGTCCACATCTTCAGTAGCTCCCGTTCGACGATAGACCGCTGAGCCTGCAGTTGGCCCAGCTGTGAGAGCGTCAATTCCCGTCCCCGCTTCATTCGACCCTGCAGCCAGGGAATCAGCGGTTCCCCTGTACTCTCTAGCAAGTCCATCATGGCGATTCCCCCGTCTACACCCATCAGTCGGCCTGCCAGACCCTGGCATTTGGTCAACGCCGCTGGCACAGGAATCTCGACCACCTCGATACCGGGCGTCTTGCGTAGTGTCTGAGCCACCTCATCTAATACTTTGGCGATAGGAGGCAGGGGCTCGACGATACCGTCCGATCGAAGTACACCGATGGTGACATTCCGAGCCTGCGTCTCAGGTAACCGGAAAGGAAATTCACCATTCCATCGACCGGGAATACAATCCTCCCCAAAAAGCTCCGCGCGGGGCACAACTTCCTCCATGATAGCACCTAGATCAGCCACTGAACGCGCCAGGGGACCAGCAACCGCTTGCAGGGACACCCTTCCCTTGCCGGGCATTTGTCCCCCATCCTGGCCTCCGAAGGGAACGCGGCCGGCACTGGGCTTGAAACCATAGATGCCGTTACACATTGCTGGAACACGAATACTGCCGCCAATATCCGTCCCAAAGCCGACCATGGATCCACGCATGGTGATCAAAGCGCCTTCGCCGCCTGTACTGCCTCCCACTGTCCACTGGCGGTTAAGGGGATTCAGTGTCCGACCGAAGAGGTAGTTGCAGCTGTCCAATGTGGCCATGGTCTGGGGAACATTGGTCTTGCCGATGATCACGGCGCCTAGCGATTCGAGGAGATCCACTAGAGGCGAGTTCTGCGTAGCTGGTTTGAATGCGAGACCGACTATGCCTGTGGTCGAGTCGACGCCTTTCACATGGAAAGAGTCTTTGACGGACACTGGCAGACCGTGTAAGGGGCCGATTGGCTTCCCACTCTTCTGGAGATGAAGATCGAGGTCTTTGGCCCGTTGCAGGGCACGGTCAAAAAGCGGTTCACTCAAGCAGCGGGTGACTTGGTGAGCGATTGCCGCGCGCTGATGATGATGTTACTATTTATTATATAACCGAATTGTAAAACTAGAAGAGACTAGATGTAGAAGAACAGGTGAAAAAAAATGGGGAAGATACCTACCTTGCAGAAAGCTCTGACCACATCTTCCGTCGTGTACCGTTTTTCTGCGATGACACGCAAGAGACCCCGAATATCCAAGTTCTCGGTAATTTCCAATTCCTTGCCTGTGAGTAAACCGCATTTTCTGGGGACATCCATCACGTTCACCCGCTGATACTGCTTAGCGTTGGTAATAGAATCCTCCAAGGAGAGCATTCCCGAGGGAATCAGAGAAGCGGAAAGCTTCCATTCTGCTGGAATTTGCGATTCAAGGTGTGCTTGTTTACGCTGGGCAATGGCTGGGTAGCTGGGGGTGGGATTTGACATTGTGTCTGATTTATCGATTTAAGATACAGATAGCTAGTTGCACAATTGAGTGACTTGAAGAAGAAGGAGGTAGCAGTTCATTAAATAAGAGAGTTGCAAGTAAGTATGGGGTCAGTTTGTTTGGCAGCCGAGGTTAGTCTGGATTTCCCCACACTTGGGGTAAGATCACTGGGCCGTGTGTTGCCCTAAGGGCATTCATTGGGTTAGAGCAGCAGACAGTACGTACTAGTATATCCTTTCGAGGCCTATCTTGATTTCATAATTTGAATGATTTCTTCTGTATCTACTTGGATGTGTCCAAGAAAACAAGGGCCTTATGATGTGTTGGTATTCGTATCGCCGCTGTACACCTGTTATTCGTTATCTGACCCTAATATGTGATCAGACCAAAGTGCAAATAGTTTGAAAAGAAACATCAAATTTTCGCTTATGAGAAAGTTAAACGAGGTGTCGACCCTCATTAAATACATGATAACAGCATTACAATGCTTCTTGCTCCTGCTGTTTGGTTTTCGAAAAGTCATCCAAGGGCGTAAGGTTCGACTTGGCTGGACCCTCAACGCAGACACCGTCGCAGCTAAACCGACTTCCATGGACCGGACAATCCCAGCTCTTCTCTGCGGCATTCCAGCTGAGTACCGCCTTCATATGAGGGCAGATAGCGCTGAAGCGATGCGTTTGGCCTCCCTCATCCTTGTACACGGCCATCGGCGCTGATGTGTCGGCCTTGTTAAGTACACCACCACTCCCCACCGCCAGATCTTCGATATCCTTAATGTCAGTTTGTAGGTAGCGCTTGTATTGGGTATTGATTTGTATGTCATGCTCCAGCATGCTTCCAAGCGATTTGACAACACTTGTAAGTCGTTTGGGATTGTAAAGGCTTGCCCATGGGTTCTCGACTCCTTCAATCTCGTCTGCGATCAGTTTCCCCGCCAGTATACCGTGAGTGAGTCCGTTTCCGCTATCGCCAGTAACAACATAGGTATGATTTGTGCCTTGGTTCTTTCCAATAAAGGCCATGTAGTCTACTGGCTCAAAGATCTGTCCGCTCCATTTATAGTCAACGGAGCCGGCCTTGGTGAATCGCTCACGCACCCATGTTTCCAGCTCTTGGAAGCGACCCTCTACTTGCTCCTGACCCACTTTATGATCGCATCCTCCGATAACAAGGTAGTCATCGTTTTCGTCGCAATCCGTGAAGCGGACATACTTGTATGCGTCCGCTTGGTCGTAGATAAGGCAGTCCTCGATATAGTTCTTAGGAACTCGGATGGCAATACAGTATGTCCGCATATATTCCATTTCGGCAATGACGCTTAACTTCTGGATGGGCACACAGGTAGCCTGAACCACATCACTGGCCGTGATCGTGTTGCCATTAGCCGTGCGAACCTGAACACGGTCGTTTTCTTCGATAGACGCCATCCTCGTATGCGTGAAGCACTGGAAGTTCGGATGGGTTCTCAACCACTCAAGCATACCCACCATGTACTTGGTTGGATGGAACGTCCCCTGACCAGTAAACAAAGCTCCATCACGCTGATCAATTTCCCCATCCCATCCCTGAATCGCAAGGCCTTCGCGGAACGACGCATGCAACCCAGCTTTGGTAGCGGCATCAACTTCCTCTCGCATAACCCCTACCTCCTTATCATGCTTCGGATCTCCACGAGGGTACTGGGAGATCTCAATCGCGGGCAAATACCGGAACTCGCAGTCCAATTTCAGCTTTTTGACAATATCCCCCGCGCGATCAATCGCCCAGGTGTGACTATCGGCCGCGATTTTCGCTCCCTCCTTCCCGTGCTTCTTCGCAATCGCGGTATAGCCATCATCCAAGGCATTCGACAAATGGCCGCTAGTTCTTCCACTCTCGCCCGAAAGCACATTCCGAGCCTCGATCATCGTCACCTTCTTGCCGCGCGTGATGAGCTCATAGGCAGTGGATATCCCCGCTATTCCAGAGCCGACCACGCAGACGTCGGTTTTGATGTCGTGCGACAATGTCTCAAACCGAGGGTATTTGGAGAAGGGCATCTTATGAACCCATACTGGGGTCATCTCCCCGGAGGTATTCATCCATTGTTCTGGACGGGCGATGGTTGCCATTGGGCGGGAGATGAGAGTGATTTTGAGGGCGGAATTGTATGGTTTCAGGACTTACTGCACTAGTCCTACGAGTTTGTAATCTGAATACGCGACTACTATGTTGCGCGAACATTTTTTAGTAAAACTAGGACTACGAGTTATGCGGACTACATTTGTTAATGGGGCTTTTTATGCGGCGCTTTTGGCTGGGAAATCCCTCTTCATCATGGTGACGTGCAATTGGTGAAACTTGGTTCGACTCCAACTTTACCCAAGTGTCACCTTTTTCTGCGGCGTTAAATATCAGAACATTAGATCTCTATTGCATATATTTATTGATTGGAATTATTTTGCTTTGCTATTTCCAATTCTTGGTTATAAGATATCGAGAGTCGGTTAATTATCTATCTAGTAATGTTTATCTATATAAACCCGGTTTTTTTTTTTAACATAACCCTAGAAATGTCTAAGATAGCCCTATCATGATGTAACTAATAAAACTATACCAGTGAATACTAGACTTACTAGTTGAAATACGACGCACAGATGACGTTGATCCGACCAATCCTGATCAGATATACGTGTCACATACTGGATGGGTTGGTCAATCATTCAGATCTACTGATGCTCATGGGCCAAAGCACCCATTTGGCCATTGTTAAACCAAGATACTGAATCCCTTTGAAAGGGTCTCTCATTCCGTACACTCGAGATCAAATAGTTTGTATCTGAGAATAGTTCCATAGAAATACATCTCGGTCCCACAACCCACGTATTTGCCTCAATGCTTCGGGAATTCCGTGTCCAGAGTTGTTCCATTCCTAGTGATAACAGGTTGGCACTCTGACATAACCCCAACCATGCGAGACCACTGAGTCTTGCTGGGATTCCGCCATTTATGCAATGTGGATCGCTGGATGGTCAAGTCCCCCGGTTTAATGATGCGCGTTTCACCAGAGGACAGCGTGAGCTCGATCTCGCCTGCGACCTGGATGACAAAGTCCAGGCTCACGGTCCGATGCAGGGGGCTCTCCGAGCCAGGAGGCGTATCAATGTACCACACATTAGCACCACCACCCTGTGTGACCAGCGGGCGAAGCTCATGGAGCGTGGAGGTCTCGTAGAGCTGGAGGTCGGTGCCATTGGTGAGCACGACAGGTGGTCTGTTGGTGGTATAACCCAGACGCACGAGAGCCCCACCGAGATCGTTCACGACGGGAAGGGACTCGTTGACGGTCTTCGAGAAGAAGGAGTTACCTTCATCGTCGTTGTCGGTAATGTAGCGTTTCGGGTTTGGAAGAGCGGTTTCAGCCATGACTGATTTGGTTTGCGATTTGGTTCCACTGCGAGAAAACAAGGTGATGCAGCTCAGATGGAGGCGTGTGGCCGTGGGTGATATGATATCCAGGCAGACCAGACATAAATATAGGGGGAACGAACCCGAACATTATCTGGAAGCTCGGGATTCACATGCAGTGCCTGTATGATCAAGTCTCAAGGTCATGGCCAATCCCTGGACGCCGATGTCGATGTTGAGATCAGACAATGAGGGCTGCAGCTCGGCTTGTCCATTTCCCAACCCCGAAATTGCTCGGAATGGACAATGATTGGCTGTCGGAGAGGATGTGATGTTATTTCACAGAGTGCGTGGAAGCTGGAAGGGCGCATTTTCTCCGCGACTTCCGTTCCTGCTGGCCAAGGGATTCTACGACTCTCCTGATCGTTGCACTAAAATTCGAGGTCTGATAAGTGGTGGCAGTATGTCCCCAACTTCGGCCCAGCCGCGTAGCACCATACGGCATCGAAGATACAAGGCCGTCATTGCCTGCGCGACCTGTCGTCGTCGCAAGGTCAAATGCGACGGTCTCCGCCCAGGTATTCCACATTTTCTTTCGCAGCAGGTGGCCTCCGATCCAATTTTCGAAGTCGCAAGTGCTGACTACTGTTATTCCCAGTGTGTGGAAGATGCCAAAACAAAAGAGAGCTTCAGGAAACCTGTACTTACATCGCTGCGTCAGTGAGCCGTAGCAGTACTGTCAACCACCATCACTCATCAGCTGCAGTATCCTCCCAACTGCCGACTCCTGCTACTTCTGCTCAAGTAAATTCGGAGGGATTCAATGCCATCAGATCTCCAGGCGCTCGCAGCCCCGGTAATCCAGGAGAATTCTCTTTCGAGGTCAAGGCTGCCATTGATACCCGACTGGGGCTACCGTCCCCGAAAAGGCGTTGCCCTATTCCTCTGACAGATGCTCCATTATTTGGCTTGCTCTCCATTCCAGATATCACTGAAGCCATTGTCAATCCTGCGGACCATGCCCTTCCGTCGCGCAGGCATGCCGACCACTTGGTGAGCCTGTACTGGCAATGCCTAGATCCTCTGGAGCCCTTGCTCGATCAGAAATCTTTCTGGACTGCCTACCAGGCCCTCTTTGATGGGAGGGAGATAGAGTGCAATAGACAGATCTTTCTGTGCATGCTCAATCTTGTATTCGCTTTGTCCACTCAATTACAAGAATCAAATCCCCCTGAACAGCGACACAGTGCCAGCAGAACTTTCTTTCTTCGAGCCTGGCATCTGTTGCGTCCGGAGATCATCCTCTGGCAAGCCGGCTCATTGGAGACCGTTCAATGTCTGCTTCTTATGACCAGGTACCTTCAATGTACCCCTAATTTGCAGCAGACATGGATGACCCTGGGTTCCGCTCTCCGGATTGCCGTGAGCATTGGGCTTGACCGACCAGGGGGGAATATATCCGGATCACGGAGGGAAAATAGCGTGGCACTAGATGTTTGGCAGCAGTGTGTCCTCATGGACAGGTATTGAGCAATGTCCCTCCATTTTTAGTCCTACGGCTCTGCTAATTCGAGTTCAGATGCCTTTCCTGGTCGCTTGGGCGGCCTTCCTCAGCGCCTAGAGTACCCTTTTCGTTCAACTCACTTCGGAACGGTAGCAACCCACCTAACTACGACAGTGAGACTGTCATTTCAGTTTCGGAGAAAATGCAGGAATTAACCAAGATCACCGGTTACATTGGCGTTTCTCAAGTACTCCCCAGCAGTAGTTCGGCCGAGGGCCTAGGCTTGGCTACACAAACCCAACCCGAACCCTATACCGTTATACAAATCGACGAGCGTCTAACTGGATTAGAAAACAGCCTCCCTCCTGTCCCATTCAATAGCCCTAATGTCGAATCTGCCGACCGGCAACTACTCCTCCTTCGTCTCCGGTGAGTCTTCCCGAGCCCCTAATTACTATAAATTATTATGGTCAATATACATAGCTATCTAACCCTCCCCCGCTTCCCCAGCATCTCATACACACGCATCATGCTCCTCAGACCTACAATGGCCCACTTCTGTCTATCACATTTACAAACCCAGAAATCAGGCGAACCAAATCTAGGCGACCACATCAACCAAACAAGCGCCACACTATGCGTTACAAACGCCCAAAAGCTCCTTACACTGATCCAGGCATCATGCTCACAACAAGACCAGACCGGACTCGTCATCATCCCCTGGTGGTATCGTATTTTTTTCCTCTACATCGCAATGCAGCATTTGATAACCGCAATGCTACGACCTGAAATCTTCGCTACGGTCGTTCAGGAGTCCTGGAACACAGCCGTATCGGTCCTTAGTGCACACGAACACCTTAGTCTATCTGTCGGAAAATGTCTGAATAGTTTTCGGTTGATGTGGCAGAAGGTCAGTGATATTCATCGCGCGCCAACCACTCAGGAGGAGGTTCTGCCGCCTCATGATGCAGATTGTGATATGGGGTTGCGGGATGTTTTTCGGCATCTTGGGTTTGATGAGGAGATTCCGTTGTTTGGTTTGGATGATTCGGAGTGGTTGTTGGGGAATGTTGATTGGGTTTAGATGAATGATCTCGCTTTTTGAAGTTCCCGATGTGTATGTTTGGTTTTTAGTGTAGCTCAGGGCAATTCTATTCAACAGTTGTCTACGTATGTGCTTGGTGGGATATATTTGGTGAGCTGTGATAGGACTAAAGTAGAAATACCTGATCTAGGTTTTTTGTTTTTTTTTTTTTTTCCTTTTCCTTACTACCCTTAGGATGGAAAGTATCCCAGCATGAATGCTTTGGATTCTTTCCTTACCTCTAGTATCATCTTCCTTGGAAAGTAAGTATTAAAGACATACTATTGTGTGCTACGATAAGGCTAATATAATACCTAGTATCTTGACAATGTCCACGAATCAAGTTATTCTTACTTGGTGATGTAGCGGCGGAGTTAATGAGACATGGAGGGTATGCATAAGTTTATACTCTAGGTATATAGTTACGGAGAGTAAATGTAACTGAAAAAACACAAGTTCCGCTCAATACATACATACATACCGTTTTGCATTCTTAAAAAGGAGGTGGGTTGAGATCCAGCCCCTCCACCGTCAACTTAAACGCATCACTTCTCGAGTAGTGACCCGCCACATCCATATCCAATCTACCCCGTTCGCAGTCCTCTACATCGATCTCCGAGATAATCAATCCGTCTCCTACGGCATCTGCCGCAGAATCAGACGCATCGTCAGCGGAGACCTCCCAGATAGGACCCGCAAGAACCTGGCCTTGAGGATCAACGATGGAGGATCCACCGCGGCAGACGTATTCAGCTGAGATGGTTTCTGTTTTTTCTTTTTTTTTTTTTTAGTTATCGATCCGGCATAATTAGATGGTGGTGATGATGATAATAATAATAATAAGGGACTTACTCTCATCTTGTGGGCTAGTGACCCACTCCGGTAATTCGTTATACCTAACGCACTGGTTTGCGCTCAGTACGTATGCCCGCGACTCAAATGCGATGGTCCGCATCAGGGGTAGCCATGTGTCCCGGGCATCAGCTGTAGGGGCCAGGTAGATATTCACGTTCTGTGAATACAGACTCTGGCGGAGAAGGGGCATGTAGTTCTCCCAGCAGATAGCTGCTGCCATAGTCACGGGGACGCCGTTGAGATGAGTAGTCACGGCTTTCAAGGTGGATGGGGAACCTTGAGCCCAGACGAGACGTTCCGTTCCTGTCTGTTGGGGGTGTTAGCTTCTTTTTTTTCCCCCTTGAATTTGGTACTTTTAAACCGAGTATTTCTGCACCGTATACATGGTAAATGCATCAATAAGACGGAAATGTTCATGTTAGGACTTACAGGCATAACCTTTCTTCTCTTTCCGAGCACTCCCCTCGCAGGATCTACGTAAAGCGCAGAACAGTACAAACTGCCTGCGGCTCTCTCGATAACACCCACGACGATGAACACGCCAGTCTCATTCGCAATCCGTTCGAGTGTTTCTCTGGTGCCGTCACCGCGATGATTCTTGCCCTCAGCGACGGGCAACTTCCTCTGCACCCAGTCATCACCTGCTCCAGTGGGGGTATCCCCGAGATCAATCGCAGAATGGAAGTAGTTCAGGAACTGTTCCCGTCCATGAGGTTGACGCGCACCAATGGCAGTGCCAAAGTTGCAGGTACGTGGGTATCCGCCCAGATAGGCCTCTGGGAAGAGGAGTAGATGGACGTCACGAGAGGCGGCATGACGGGTGATGCGGTTGAGGGCGGAGAGAGTCTCCGCGACGGTGTTGTGGGTGCGTGCTTGAGCAACGCCTACGGTGATTTTGGACGGCATGTTTGGTAGATGTGAAGTATTGTTTGTTTGTTCTGTTGATTGTTGAAGAAGCCATGAATGGATGTGGGGAATTTAAAGATGAATATCAAATCCCGGAAAGCCGGACCAATCGCCGGGTGAGTCACCGAAGATTCGTAAGAGACCCGCTTCTCTCTCTCTCCACGTTTACCACGGATTTTATCTCCGGATAAAAGAAAAAAAGAAAAAAGATAATGAACAAAGCATCTTTCTTTTACATTCATTCTTGTCTGTCATTCTGGTCTATCATACATACAAGCAGGCAGCTCTCCTATATAATCCTATGTACAGCACTGCCGTACTAATCTGCAGGAGATCCCGAATAAAAAGCATTCACCAATCGATAGGTAAACTCGAGCAAACGCTGGGAATGCAAGCAATGCCGGGTATAGCGCCTCGCTAACTAAATCATCAAGAAATGAAGTTCATCGGAACAAATTCAAAACGGGAAGCCAAAAAGAGAAAAACCAAAATCAACTTGGAAGCAAAGCAATGCCGATATAATGAATGATGTCCTTTTTAGTTGCCTTGCCTTTTCTTCCTTCAAGTCTTTTGTTCAACTGAGATTTACACCTGAGTGCCCATTGCAGTGGCGGCTTGCTGCAACACACGAGGCCAGCGAGAAATGAATTCGACATCGTCCAGAACACCCTTGCCTTGGTTGCGCACGTATTGTGTACTGGGGTCAATACGTGGCTCGTAGTCCCAAATAGCCGGGTTGCCCTTGATCAACGCTGAGTAAACCAAGCGTCGCCGGCGCTGTGACCGCAGGACATCTTCCGTGATGCTCTCCAAGTCCCAGCGGGCTTGCGCTTCTTCTAAGAAGTATGCCAGGACCTTGGCAGGCTCGGTAGTGGTAGGCATTTCAGGCAATCCTTTGCCTGGACTAGGAGTCCGTGGGGGACTGGGGAATGGGTATGCCGACGATGCACCACGCTGCGGCCGGGGCGACACACGCGGAGACTCAGCGGGAGTAGGCAAGGACGCCGGTTGCAACTGCGATCCCGAAATATGTTTGGTTACACCCAATCGCACCGGAACAGGCAAACCAGTCGCCAGGTTTACCTTTTCTTCAGGGTCTGTCGCCACATCGAAGAGCATGGGTGGGTCAATCAGCGAGTAAACAAACTTCCAGCGTCCGCGACGAATCATCACAACCGGGGATTGTGTTCCTTCACCCATGTACTCGCCCAATACGGTATCGGTCTTGAGGCCGTCCTCGCCTGTCAGGTACGGAATCAACGACACACCGTCCAGGGGCAGTTCCTGAACCAACTGCGCGCCAACCAGATCAACAAAGGTGGGCAACAAGTCCATCGTCGACACATTTTGGGATACACGCTTAGGAGCAAAACGCTTAGGTGCATGCACGATCATGGGCACACGCGCCGAATTCTCGTACCAGGTCATCTTATACCATAGGCCGCGCTCACCCAGCATGTCTCCGTGGTCACCAGTAAACACGATGATTGTGTCGTCGGTCAAACCACAATCATCTAGGACCTTCAACAGTTTGCCGACGTTAGTATCAACGTAGGTACAAGCCGCGTAGTAGGCGCGGCGAGCGGCCTTGATCCGTTCTTCGGGCATTTCTTTGCCCCACAAGTCAATGCATTTCAGAACACGCTGAGAATGGGGGTCCTGCTGGTCCTGTGGCATGTCGCCGTTCTTCGGCAAAGGAATGTCAACACCTTCATACAGGTCCCAGAACTCCTTGGTCATGGCGTAGGGATCATGAGGGTGAGTCATGGACACCGTCAGACAGAATGGCTGGTCACCACGCTGGCGGACATGGTTGTAGAGGTACTGCGTGGATTTATATATAACTTCCTCATCAAAGTCAAGCTGGTTGGTCCGCACAACAGGACCCGCCTCCATGACAGAGGACATGTTGTGGTAGTAATCGAGACGAATTTCCTACACACGATCAGAAATCTCTTGCCTTGGATTTGAACTACTAAGAATGTAACTTACCGGCTCATCCCAGTTGACAGACCAGCCATAGTCACCGGGATAGATGTCGCTCGTCAAACGCTGCTCATAACCGTGCAGCTGGTCCGGCCCACAGAAATGCATCTTTCCGGCCAGAGCGGTGTGATAGCCCTCCCGGCGCAGATAATGGGCATAAGTGGGGATGTCAGCGGGTAAGTCGGCGGCGTTATCGTAGGCTCCAATCTTGGAGGGCAATTGGCCGGTCACCATGACGAAACGTGACGGCGCACATAGCGGAGAGTTACAGTAGGCCGAGTCGAAGACGACACCCTCATCTGCCAACCGGTTCAGGTTGGGGGTCTTAATGGGAGAATTCTTGTCATGGAAGGCCAGAAGGGGAGCAGCCATCTGGTCAGCCATGATGTAGAGGATGTTGGGCTTCTTGGTAGCCATGGTGATGATTGGTGAGACCTCCTCTCACACTCTAATCTAATGATAGAAACTATGCCAAAGAGTTGGTGGCCGGAATAAGAGAAGAGGTGTGCCGGATGAAGAAGGAAGAGAAAAGAAAAGAATGAAAGCCGGAGAAGGGAAGACAAGTTATAAGTAACCTTAAGGGGGAGCGGATATTGCTTTCAGGGTGAATAAGGCCAAGCAGGAAAAAGAAATAAAAATAAAATAAAAAAAGACAGAAAGAATAGAAAGAAGAAGAAAAGATAAGAGGGAGTAAAAAA